GGTCTCTACAACCACCATTGCCTTTGTAAAAGGTTGGGTGAAGTCTGATGACAGAAGTTCAGAGTGGCCCATGAGAGGTTTACACATGTCAAGTCAATGCTTAAACATCACACATAATTTTACTTTGGTGCATTTAGCAGTCAAACGCATCACTAACTACACCCCAATCCTGCTAAGGCCTTTCAGATGCATTTTGACTGAGCACAGATCTTGCAGTGCTTATCAGAAATACTCCATTTGACTCTTCCTGGTTGTAATGGGAATCTTATTAGGACAAATCTCCTTGCAAAATTAGCACAACAATGCAAAGAGCTACAAGAGAATTCCCTCTATAATAGATGAGACACAATTGATTTCTGGCACTCCACTTCCAGCCTCAGCCAGAAATACAAGATGAACAGGCTTGCTTTCTTCTGTGATTTCAACACGTCTGCTTCCTGTACGAGCTGGAAGTAGGACATACCATAACAACTGTCAAAACATTTCAGAACCTCGAGCAAGGTGTGATTGGAGCCAGCCTCTAGAAGCAGACAGGACTTGGGGAGCCATGTGAGTAGGCTGGGCCCTCTGCTCTCCCCTGATCCAAGGACCAAAGGTGACCTTACCAAAGGTGTAGCAGTGTGACTCTCACTCAAACCTCTTTTCTGGCTGGCCCCAAACTTTCACAGCCAAGCTGAAGGACACTCCAGTGACTCCCAAACACTGAGGGCCATCCCTCCCAGGCTGAAATCTTCTGGCAGCCTGTGGGTGCCTCCCCTCAGCCCACTCACTCACCATGGTGCCTGGCCCTGCCAGAGCTGAGTCCCTTTTACAGTGGGGATCAGTGAGCTGCTGAGAGAGGGGCACTGACAGGGCTCCAGAACTTGTGGAAAATGGTGGGAGGAGAGGCAGATCCCTGCACTGAGGCCAAGGGGCTCCAGCCAGGGCCAGGGTTAGGCTGGGAAGGACTGCTGGCTTCCCAGGGAGAGGCAGAGAAGAGGGGAGAAGGAGAGGGGACATGCCCCAAAACAGGAGGAATTGCTAAGAGAGGAAAAGAGGGCAACTCCAAACAGCTTTGTGATGGAAGAGGCAGCTCACTAGTGGGAGGAGAAGAGGTGACTCAGGACTGGGAGAGACATGTCCTCCACTGAGGGAGACATGGGAAAGGAGAGGAAAGTCTCCTAACTGCAAAGTAGGGGATAAAATCAAGGCAGTGTGTATTAAAATACATGGTTGCCTCTGGTGAAGCAGCTGGGCCCAAGTGGGAGGGTGGTGAGAGATGAGCTGAGAGTGAAAAACAGGCCCCAAACTGGGGTTTCTGTGCAGGAGATGAAAACACACCATGCAGGGTTAGGGTAAAGTGACAGAAAAGTGGGAACAAAACTCAGAAAAGGGAAGCATTTGGGAGAAGGAGGGATACAAACAGGAGAAATATGGCATCTCTGTTGAGAAGGAACAGGAGAAAATTGGCTACAATGCAATGAGGGAAAGGCAGGAAGCTGCTGTTGTCTGCTGCCAACACACACAAACATGGCTGGTGAATGGAAAGTTAAAATATACATTATTCATCAGGCAAACTTAATTTTTAATGAAAGAATATTTCTATGCCTACCTCACGAGAAATGTGTGAAGATCTTTGGGGACTCATGTTTTGTGGTTTTGGTTATTCACACGGGCATTGTGGAGAGCAAAGCACAGGAAAGCAGCACGCTATTTGAAAGCAGACTGCATACTGAGGCAAGGTAACTTTCTCCACCCCCAAGAGGTTTTATATCTCAAAATCTAAAGAACTTTGCTCTGTCTTTCAAATATGCAGGGAATTCCTACAAATTTCTTCTTTTCTGTCCCAACTGGACAGTACAGAGCCTTCCTCTAAAATCTGGATATGACCTTTGAGAATATTATTGTTACTATTATTTACCAAAAACCACTTTCAAATTAAAAAAAAAACCAAAAAACAACACACCAAACAACAAACAAAAACTGATGAATATTTAGTAGGTATAATACAAGTGATTTGCTGCACCAGTGCTAGATATGTTTAATAATTTTAAGTAGCAGTACGAGACATGCAGTGACAATGTTTTTAAAACAATTTGTCTGTGATCTTCCCTGAGTGCCTGTCAATACAAGCAAACTGAATTTTAGCCTGCCAAGTACTCTTTGACCTGTCATTCATGTCTTTCAATTTCCAAAACATTTGCATTAGTCGTCACTCTTCTTCAGTGAATGCACTCCTCTGACCTCGTCTAACCTTGTTTCTTGCCACAAGAGCAGCTGATGAAGTGTTAGACCAGGGACTCTGGGTAGTGTGTTTTAAGGAGGGAGTTTGAGAACCATGTTTCATACAGGTTATACTACAGCACTGAGAGAGGATGTTCAGGTGTTTGGTGGTGATCAGGACATGGGGAATATTTTTGAGGGAGAGAAAATAGTGGCCACTGACATGGGTCAGAAATGAATTCTCAGAGGCTCCTGGCTGAAACCTGAAACAGTTGCAGAAAAAAAAGAAACTGTTTTGCTTCTCTGAAGCAATTGGTAAATGCTCGTGTTCAGTGAGGATACATGCCTGCACTGCACAAAGGGTACCATTGCCAGCTTTGGTATCAGAAACACTCCAGCAACACTAATAAAGCAAAGAAGAAAACTTATCCTCAGGAAAAAGACAGTACAGTAGTAGGTTAATGCATTTAGATGACAACCAACACATGAGAAAAATTGTTTAGGCACTGGAGCAAAAGGAAGTGCAATTTTTTTCACAGTGGTTGTGTAACTCTCATGGGTTTGAAATGTGCAGTAACTGTTGATTTCCATTGCTAGTTCGTAGCCTTATTTTTGGTATAATTTCTTCTTTAAACTTTCCAGAATTCAATGTAGAAAGTTACCTAATTGTGCATTGTCTGTTCATAAACCTGTGTGGTGCACCTCTCTTTAGATTTCCCATTTCATCTGATTAGAGCTGCTGTAGTGTTTCAAGCATTGCTTTGTTTTGTGTGAAGCAATTTGCAACCCTTTTTTCAGAAACATGTTTTTGTTGGGATACAAGAGTATCTCACTTTGAATTTCTTTTTCAGTTCTCCATTTTTTCTGTTTCTTTTTTAAGTGCTAGTTTCTTTGGCTAAGAGGGAACCGAAAGCATAATTCAGGGGGTTTTTTCTTGTGTTATTTCAGAGGACATTAAAAATAGATTTTTCTGCTATAAATGTCTATTTAATACGGTTTTCCAGCTGAAGTCTGCTATGATGGTACTCACATAGTGTTTGAGACACCTTCTGAAATTACAAAGAGATCAGAAATATTACAGGGACCACATTTTTGGCCAGAGTGGCTCTAGGAAGACTGGCTCATAGTGGCTTCTACACTTGTCATGCTGACTCCTGAGTTGTTTTAATGGGCATCCTGTACACATCTTTTTGCAGAAACCTAGATATAGGACTTTTTTTAAAGTATCCAATTTATTTAATGAATTCAGCTACTCTAATTATCACATAGCATACTAGAATATTACATTGTATTAAAAAAAAGTTTCAGAATCCATTTTAATGGAGAAGTGCAGGACTATCCATTTGGTGGATTTTGTACCTTCTCAATACAAACTTCTCTGCTAACTTGAGGTGTTGCTGTAGAATTAAAAAGAAACTTCATTTATCCACTGTGGAAAGAGAGACTGCAAATAGATGACTGCAAATAGATAATCTAAAGGTTTTAAATTAGCATGAGTGTAAAAGTCCACCATAGAAATAGCTTGCACTAGTTTTGCACTCCTCAAAATGCTGAAGGATTAAAATTTCTGCACCCCTGTGACTGACAGCCAACTACTTTGCTGGTCCTTTTCTTATGCAAACTCCATCACTACCTGTAAGAAAATCTTGTGATTCATTTACTGCTCCATTTCCACCAAAGCAGATACCTGGGTTCATAAAACTGTCTGCTACGGAATAATTTCTGCAATATAAGACAAAGCACCATTATGGTAAATCCATTGCACAACAGGATCCTGGGAAGTATTTATGAATCTCCTGCCAAACTGCTTAAATCATGACTTTGTTATAAGCATCAGATGTTTACAATCTTGTAATGATATTGAGGCCTTATACAACTGGTTTTTTTACAATACTTTTGTAGCCAGTTTAAAGCCATCTGGTGCAGGTATTGCCAGGTATATGTGATTTTGTTGTTGTTGTTGTGACTACACATGCACCCTCAGCACCCTCATGGTATTTTCTCAATGTATGACAGTAGAATTGAAGTTAAATTGTGTCATTGTTTATTTGTACACGGTGACTACATATGATGTTCCTGAGAGCCACATGTGAGAATTGCTGTTTTAGTTTGTCATGTCTTCACATTCAGATCCTGAAAATTATATAAAAATGTTGGTCTCCAACTAAGCCAAATACTGATATGCAGCTTTGGATCTCTTCTAATGTCATAAGTTTTACTGTGCTTTTATAAAGCCCAAGTCTTTAAACATAATTAGAATAAGTAGGTATAGGAACATATCATTTTTATCTTTTGGTTACTTGGCAAAAAGCTTTCATTTGGAGATCATCTTATTAAAAGACCAATGATATATGGATTAAAAAGATTAGAGTTGAGGTTTTATCTGTATATTGCCATTTATTAAATAAAGGCAATAATTTGCTTATGGTTTACTTTTTTAATACCATGTTATGATTGGATCACTCTAGTACTTAGAAGCTGCAACCAAAATCAAAGCTGCATTACCTTGAATTCTGAAAAAAATCACATAAAAAAAGGAAGCTTCTGCTTGGCAATTGAAATTAAAGAATCCTCAGGGACCAGGGAGGGAAAGAAGGACCTTTCCTGACTGACTTAATTATTTTTCTATGGCAGAATGACTTGTTCAAGGTCATAGAAGAATTAAATTTCTGTATTGGTGAGCAGGTGGAAAAAAAAACAGAGGCTGTTTAATCTGCACTTTCACGTGCAGGTCTTTTACTAATTTCCTAAGGAACAAAGTCTTCTTTGTTTGTGACTTTCTCTCACTTCTTTCCCTCTCCATCCATAAATTTTGGCCCAACTGATTAATAAAAACAAATCTGAAAGAGGAATGAAAGTCTTAAATAGGTTTGTCTTTCTATGAATTTTGTGGAAGCAGATGCCAGGAGAAGGGAAGAAGAAACCATCTGCATGGTCTGTCTACAGTAAAGCTGCAGCTCGAGCTCACATTCACAAGGCAGCACTGCATATATTCCTGACAATGGGAAAACTCATAGGATGTCAGATCAACTCTCTTCCTATTTTGCTACAAGGCTCTGGAGCACAGTCACAGCTGTCCATGCAACATACACTGGTTTATTTGACACCAATGTGGAGTGAAACAGGAGGTGTTCTTGGGGAGAACTCCTGGTGCAGAAGTCAGGATACTTTTCTGCAGCTTCAGCACTTGCACCCTACAAGACAAGGGAGACAAACTGAAGGCTGGTTTGCTCAGGGCTGGTGTCATTTCTTGGTGCAGATCATGGAGGCAGCATAGATATAATCAAAGCAGAACTCACACTCTTTAAACAAAAGATGCTGATCACAGGAAAGTTGGGCATATGTGTAGATGTGTCATTTAGGGACATGTTTCAGTGATGGAATAAGGGTTAATGGTTGGATTCAATCTTAAAGGTCTTTTCCAACCTAAATGATCCTATGATTCTGATTGTGGAACCATTTGTTTAATGATAATGCTGTTCTGGAATACAGGAGGGAGGAAAAATTCCTTGGGGATGGCTTTGGAAACCTTTCTCTTAAACTGTAAGTCGCTGGATTGTTTCTTTTTAGGAAGGAATTGGTACATCTTGAATCTTCGATTTTATGCTAATTTTCCTTCATATGGTCTGTTTCTGTTAAGAACCTAGACTGCCTGTAGTGTGTCATGGTAAGCAGCATGTAGATCAGTGCCATGTGTTAAAGCTGGAAAGTTTCTTCTTTTCTTCTTTTTTTTTTTTTTTTTTTGCTTGGTTTGAGGCAGCTTGTATTAAATACTTTACCCCTCCCCTTTTTTCCCAGTTGTATGATTAGGAATTGCTTTACTACTTGTGCATCCCATGGTAGTGTTTAATATTAGTTGGACACTTGGCCATCCATACTTCCCTGAAATCTAACATTGGTTTTCATTGATGGGGATTTCCTGGGTGCTCACATGCCTTTCTTTTGCATCTTCTCTCCAGATCCACATCTAGGGTAATCACACCACTGTTATGGTATAGCAGTCTAACTTCTCTAATTATGAGACTATTTGGCCACTGGCAAGACATTTGCTCAATTATCTTGCAGTGAATTTGAACACAAGTGTCAAACATGGTTACTCTTAAGTTCATGTCACTTATCATTCCTTCTAAGGAACTCCATCTTCCTATTTCTGACCAAAGAGTTTTTCAGTATAGTGGGCAGAGTTTTCAACCTCAACATAAGCAATTTATGTCTATTCTTTCTTTCTTCCTCATTGATGTGGAAGGAATTATGTGTCCTTATAATTAAAAACATCAAACATATTCACTACCAGCTGAATTTTGTTAGACTAAGTAAAACTGTCCTCAAATGATAGAGTTTGAAGTCCTCTGATCTTTCTCATAACCATGTCCACACTTTTTTTTTGATAGGAAGATAAATTTAAATTGCACATAATAATTCTAAATATATCTTGCCAGGGCTTTGTATTACATCACAACTACCCTCTTGCTTCTGGAAATTCCCCATGTAGTCTATGAAAGATCATGCATCCTATGTCTGTTTCATGATGGCTGCTAACAAGCCTGCTGTGATTGCCTGGTTTTATTTGAAGGTTATTTTGGTGAGCTTTCTGCTTCTTTGATAATGTTACTGAAGTTTCTTGTAGCTAATGTTTACTTGACTGGAGGCACCCTGGCTAGGCCATACAGAATGAAAGCTTTTAGACTCACCTCTGGGCATTAAGGATGGGACTTGTATATTCCAGCTGCCTTTTGAAAGAGGTGGAGTGTGTTGACAGTGCACATAAGGCAGAGTGTCTGTCCTTTGCCCCAAATGTTTATCCATTTTAGCACTATAAAGAGCTTAGTCTTAATGAAGTTGTGGGAAATTTATTTAAATCCATTCTAGACTGCAGCACCATATACCTTCAGCAACTGCCCCTCTGGCCACAGCTCCAACTTTTGAGCAGGCCTGAAATGTTTTGGTGGGTTTTATGTTTGTTTGGTTTTGGTTTGGGTCTTTTGAGGTTTGTTTGTTTGTTGTTTTTGGGGGTTTTTTTTGAGTCCACATTAATTCCATGTTCTGCTTCAGTATTGCCTCACAATGGTTTGAACCAGCAAAAAGTGAACGAGTGTCTGGGAAAAGATGTAGGACAAGGATGGGATCATGCAAATCTCACATCACCACTGAGAGAATTGTCTGTTGAACCATTAACTTCAGTGATCACCACCCCTAATGGGGCTGCAGAGCTGTATGAAAGCCACTACGTGAGGAATATGTGAGGCTGCTTAAACGAAACTAAGCCCTTCACTGAGAGCATTTATATTTGGCTTAAGAGGTATGAGCTGAAGCAACAGGCTTATGCTGAAACTCCTAATCCAGAACAGGTATCCTGAGTATAAAAATGTTCACGGATATTTTCTATTCTTACCTCAATGGTGAAATAAGCAAAAATGACACTATCCTAAATTAAAAGCATTTACGTCCCATAGGTTATGTAGAGCGAGATGAAAGCCTCGGTATTGTTTGAGAGAAGCCGGACCTGCGAGTTCAGAGCTGCTGCACCGTAGCCTAGAACACCAAGACGAGAAAAATCCCATTTGCAAACAGACGGAGCCTACTACAGCCCAGGCAGTATTTGGATAACAAAATGGCTGTGGTTGTGGCTGTAGGTGATCCACAGGAGCGCAGCTGGAAGCAGGGGAGCGAGGGAGCCCTGGCCCCGCACTCCGGGTCCGGTCCGCGGCCGCGCTGGAGCGCGGAGGGGCCGTGCCGCAGCTACCGCGAGCCCGTCCCAGGGACTTACTGCGGGCGCTGCGAGCGAGACTCTGCGGGGCGCGCAGCCCCGAGGCGCACAGGGCCGGCGGCCGCGCCCTCCCGGCGGGGCTCCTGTGCCGCCGCTCCCGCTCCGCTCGGCCGGGCCGGGCCGGGCCGGGCCGGAGGGGCAGCGCGGGGGCTGCGCGGGTCCGGCGCCCCTCGGGGCGGGCGCGGGCCCGGTGCCGGCGGCGCGGGGCGCAGGCGCGGGGGACCGCGGGCATGCGCGCTGTGCGGCGGGGAGCCCGATCTGATAGGGAGCAGGGGCTGACACTACCCCCGTGTGGGCGGCGGAACGTCCCGAGGATGACGTGCGGCGTTCTCGAATCCCGTGTCTCGCTCGCTCGCTCGCCGCCGCCGCCGCCGAAGGAAACGGGAAAAGCAACAAGGAGGCAGGAGCAGGCGCGGCGCCATGGCGGCCCTGGAGCGGCCCGTGCCCAGTCCCGAGGCGTTCCTGGGCCAGCCCTGGGCCGCCTGGGTGCGGGAGGCCGCCCCCCCGCACGCGCACGGCGCCGCCCCCCCGCACAGTAAGGGCAGGGACCGGCCGCGGTCCGGCTCCGCACGCCGCTCCCCCCGGAGCGGGGCCGGGGTCCGGCCGGGCCGCCCCCCCCCCCCCTCCGCTCCCCTCCCTCCCTCCTCCCGCCGGGGCCGGGAGGTGCCGCCCCCCCGGGCGCTCAGCTGACGCTCGGCCGAGCCCCCGTGCCATGTGTGCGGGAGGCGCACGCCGCGCCGCGCCTGCCGTGCCGCTGCCCCGCGGCGCTGGGCCGGCGCCGCGGTGGGGGAAGGGGGCGAGGGGGAGGATGCGCGGAGGGGCCGGAGGATGCCGCGGGCGGGGAGGGGGGGGCCAGGGTGCTGCCGCGGGGGGCCCGGCGGTTCCGCTCCCTGGCAGATGCTCCGACCATTGTGCTTTTGCTGTTGCAAATAGAAACACTGCTCACCTCCTCACCTCTCCTCCTCCCCTCGCCAAACAATAAATGCACACCTCAGGGCCCTCGGCGCTTCCTGACTCTGCTTCTCTTCTGCAGGTGTAGATCTGGAAGAGACTGGAAAGGAGGGTGGAAAAAGCAGGGAGGTTATGAGGCTTAATAAAGAAGGTAAGTGGATAGTGCTGGCACACCTCTCTACCTGTCTGTCTCTTGGTGCTTGTGAATGACTGTGGTTTGGCCTTGACAGGGTGGTCTGATAGCATATGGATTTCTCTGCCGTGAAGAACGTTTCAGGGTTGGATACATGCAGATGACTGTCACTGTGTCAACTTCTTTTGAAGTAAGGGTATAACAGGTGTATACACGCAACTGACAGACGTGGTAAAAGATGAGACAATTTTGAGGCAAAAGACAGCTACACATCAGTGGCCATATTGGATTTTTTTGTGGACCCTGTCCCTTGGTGCAACATTCCAGTTGCTCATGTGAAGATAAGCATATAAACTTTAAACATTATATTATTATTAGCAACTTAGTGGAGATGTTTTCCCTTGCAGCGAGAAAGGGTTTGTTACCATCTTTGAGTTCTTTCACTTTAACTCAAATCACATTTTATTCTTCATTTGCACTGCTGAGTGTGACCTACAGTCAACTGAGCAGCCAGCATCAAATATTATCTTAGGTTACACTACCCCATGCATATTATGCAAAACCAAATAAAATTAGTCATTTGGGCCATAACTTCTTCTGGTATCATCAGTGTGAACAGGCAAACTCCAGGTTAGAGGTATTTCCCAGTATGCCAGGCCTGTCACAGCTCTGTCAGCTGCGAGAGGAGAAACATTTTGTTTGTGATGTGTGCCATTTACATCATGTTGAGGTAACACCTAATGCAACTAGTGAAATAGTTCAGGATGCTTTTTCAAGTAGTTTTGTTTTTGTTTCTGTTTCATTAAGAAAGCACTTTATGTACACAACCTCTCTGTCTTGGGAAATACTTCTTGGGAAGTCAGTTCATAATGAACAATCCCATCATAGTGAAACTTTGGTGTGCCTTACGCTGAGAGAAATCCCACTATTACCTGTAATGTCATAAAAAATATTCTGAAATGATGTTAAGTTTCTCATTACATTACAGTTGTCATTATGTGTGCGTTCGATTTTGAGCATCTTGGCAGCTCAAAGGGATCTTATGTTTTCTAAACAAGCTCTTGAAAAAAGACTTAATTAATTAATGAGTAATGTAGATTTGTGTGATAAACTATAAAATTGCATGGAGTATGCATTAAAGTTATTTAAAATACCATAAAACTTCCTTTTTGAAAGACCTTTACAGAGATGCCAAGCTTGATTGTGTTCCTATTTTGATTCTTACATTCCTGAACCTCTCTATTTTGTCAGCCCAAAGATAATTTAGCAGCAGAACTGGGATTTTCATGAAGTTATTTATAGGTAAAAGGTTTAAGGCTCTGTACATATATCAGTAGTGTTGATTCAAAAATAATTGAACAAAAATTTTTCTACTTCAGCTATGCCTTCATAAGGAGCTTAATTTGTTGAGATAAAATGTTTTGTGCTCAGAAGTCCTTGAACACAAATTCCTGTTATAAGCATGGGATATAAAGATTGAAGTATCTCAACTCCTTAGTTATACATAGTATGCAAATTGTTTCCTAGAAAGATTCAGTGTAAATTATCAGTTCTAGTCTTGTTTGGTTTGGGGGGGGGGGGGGGGGGGGGTCAGAGACTCCATCAAAGGAACTCTATTTAAACTCACTAACCAGAAAAATTACTTCCAAACAAAGCATAATGTCATTGCTGACATTATGATCATGACAGGTGTGAAGCATTTACTGGCTTTTATAGTACTTATGTCATAATACCGTGTAAAAAAAACCAAAATTGACTGTTATATTTAGAAAATAAAAAGCCTTAGGGATGTTATTGCTTTCAAGTAGTAACTTGTGTTAGATCACTTAGAAAGAACTTCCATGAAGTTTGAATAAATGAGTATGTATCGAAATATTTCTACTGTATTCACTTCGGCAGTCTGTTAATACAGGTGTTTTCACCACACCCATCTGTGTGTCTGAACACCCACTGTAAATCTTCCTTGGGCCCCACAGTCCTTATTAGTAAAGATGAGGGAAGATTTCAGGAGTTAGATTGGTCTGCAGGACATTTTCTCATGTATTTGCAGAAATGCTTGTGCTTTTACTCTGACCTTGCTCGTGTGTTGTGTGACATGTTGAATTTTTTTGTCTGCTTCGTTCATAGATGAGGGTTGTGGTTATGATAGTTCTGAAAACAAAAACCTTTTTTTGCAATCTCATCAATTTGAGTAGACCTTTTTAATGGCATCTGTGGTGCCAGGAGATTGTAAGTGGTGTCTTAGAAAAATCAAATGTTACTTGTAACCTACTTGTATCAAGTAACCAGGGGCAACAGATGGACAGGATTTTAAGTATCAAAAATTACTGTCCTGTTTGATAAAGATAGTGTAAAACCTGATCTCTCTGCACTTACTTATTATTTGTCTGCACTTCCTCATCTTTGGTTGCTGTGACCAGGTTTATGCAGCCATCCCTTTGTAAGCAGTTTAGCAAGAAGGCTTTTCAGATGAGTGAAACTGTGTGCAGAGCATGGTGGAAACTAAAGAGTGGGAATATATTGGTTTTCAGACCATGACAAGGTGTTTCACTTTGGTTTTGTAGAAAAACAATGGTGTTAGGTGGCTAAAAGTGCTTCCGGTTAGCGTGATGCTTGCTTTGCTGCCTCCTTTCTGGTTGTGTACCATGTGTGTTTAGAGTGGTGGGCTGCTCCTCTTCCTTGCTTTGGCCCAGGAGGGGATGTGGGAGGCAGTGTTTCCTGGAGGTGGGGGTAGGAGCACTGTCTGCCAAGTCTCTGCCTGCCCAAGGGGTTGCTGCTTGCCTCCCTGGGCAGAGGGCTCACAGTCTGACTGTGCTGTTCATTTCTGTAATGCAAGAGATGCACCGTGTGCCCCGTGCCCCATCTTAGGGGTGAAAATAAAGACACAGAAGTATTGCCCACTGCTTTCCTTTATTCTGCAGTGTATATGTAGGCAGCATAGAGGGAGAGAAATTTCCTGAACGTTTGTTCAGTTTTCTAGACAGAATTGCTTTTTGCATGCTGACACTTACTCTGAGTTTTCCTATAGCAAATGCATTCTGTCCATGGTTGACTTTTACTGGCATGTGGATTTGTAGAGAGGGGATTACAAAGTTCCAAGTGTGCACAGAAAATGAGAAGTTTTTAATATAAATGTTTGTGCCAGAAAAGAAACCCCAAAACTTATCTGCTTATCTAATCAGGAAACAGAAACAGTATTGTGTAACTTATCTGACAAATCACTACCAAGCAACCAGCTTAGCTAAAAGAGGGGTTATCAGAATTAGAGCAGCATTTAGAATTTATGTTGAATTTTAAAAGGTTGAATGGCATATTTGAAGAATTGAAGATTTTCTTGCAGATAGCAGGCATAGTAAAAGAAGTCTGTATTTGAGAGTTTGTGTTCTGTAAAACATCACAGTTACTGTGTGCCTGAGGCAGGTACAGTGTTCTGTTATTATGAGCCATAACCTGTAGATGATTAGAGATTAATTTTGGAGGCTTGTGTTTTGCTTTATACAATATCTGAGAAAATAATGGATGAATGGGATATTTTGGTTTCGTGTACAGAACTTGTATTAATAATTGGTTTAGTAGTGTGCAAGCATTGATTGCTATGAGTGTTTGTAGATAGACACAGGCTGTAAAGGAGCAAAAGATATCCTTTGAATCTTTGTGAATTACAGCAGGGTTAAATATCACCTATGGCATTTAGGTCTGTGTCTGGGTACTTGGTGTCATAGTCAAGTTCACTTTCCCAGTTCAGTGGGTTTGTATCATTGAAGTTTCAATCTGATGATGTGTGTGTTTTGTCTTGGATAATCTTTTCACTAATCATAGTGATTCATTATTGTTTGACATTAAGAATGTTAAGTAAAAAATTCTAATTTTTCTGATTTTGTGTTATAAGATTTTTATTGTTCCACCCCAAACTTGACCATTTTACTTTGTGATTGCACATGGAAACTGGAGTTTTAAATCTATTGGATAATTGTTTACAGTATATTTTTCCTATTTTGACTTCC